CCCGGGCGGCCAGGGCGCTCGGCCGGCCCCAGGATGTAGGCGACCGTGGCTCCCGCAGGCGCACGGCTCACCATGAAGAAGCACTCGGCCCGGGTGGCCCCGCTCAGCGCCTGCAACAGTCCGGTCCTGACCCTCACCAAAGTGGAAGGTAACGCCTGGGGAGGGGAGGGGTCTGCGCCCTGCGGAGTCGCCCCCTTCCGGGGCTGCCCAGCCGTGGGGCTGCCTGGCCTGGGGGCTGCTGGCTCCACGGGAAGCGTCCCTGCAGTGCAGCTGCCTGCGGGGGTGGCACCTGGCAGCTCCCCGCTGCCCGGAGCTGCTGCGAGGTCTGCGGGGCTGCCCAGGGTGCTGCAGCCAGAGCCGCGCCGGCTCCTTCCTGCGGGGCCCCCAGCACATCTGGCCGCCGCAGCAGCAGCAGTGGCCTCAGCTCCTTCCCGGCCTGTGGCACTGGCCGGCTGGGTAGGAGGAGCTCGCCCAGACACTACCCAGTGCCTCCCCCGCTCACGCACTTGAGTCCCTGGTGCCCGGAGCATCCCCCAGGCAGATCCAGGTGTGCTCAGCTGGTGGAGCGGAAGGGGCTGCCGCAGGCTGAGAGGTCTCCCTGCCCTCTGAACCGCCCAGCCCACCAGCCAAGTGACAAGCAGGGGAGAGAAAAGCCACCACCAGCCTGTAAACATGTTCTTGCCCCCACTGTGGGATGTGAGGCAGAGACCAGGAGAAGGAGCCTGCCAGTGCCCCTGGAGAGCTGTGCCTTCCTTAGGCACAGCTGTCGCCCTGCCTGAGTGGAAGGGAACTTGCCTCCCGATGTGGGGGGGGGGAAGCAGGGAGAGACCCACCTCCATTCTCAGCTCCTCCCAGGAGGCAGAGGGGGAATGACCAGTCTCCTAGAGCTGGCCAGGTTGTCCAGGTGAGGGCTGGGCAGGGCCAGCCAGTGAGGGGGGAGGGGACAGCAGACCCCTCACGTCTCGGTCCTCGGCTACCCTGAGTTAGCCCAGCGTTAGCCCTGTGTGTGCCCTGTGTGCGGGTGGCGACGGGCTCCTGCCGCACTCCTGGTACCGCGGCCTGGAATTGGGACCTGTGTAAGACGGCTTCCGAGGACCCTGCTTCCCCGAGCGAGTTCTCACTTGTTGCACTGAGACTGAGGACCAGTGAGAGTAAGACGGAGGCTCGCAGGGCAGTTAGGCTCCCTGCCCACAGAGGCCGGCCTGTAGGCATCCTGGTCCCATGTCCCCATCCTACAGATGAGGACTGTGAGGCCCGGAAGGGCGGATTGGTGGCGAAGCAGGATTGGAATCCGGGGCTGGCTGATCAGAACATCCCTTTGCCCTAACTTGTGACTGCTTACCTATTTCTCCCCATTTCTATCTTTAGGAGGTTGATTTTTTTTTTCCTTCTTGTAGCTGTCTCCTCCCCTTCCCCGCCCCAGTCTCAGGACAGACTTGGTATCAGTCACCTACACCTGAATTTAGTGCATGTGTGGCCTCTCCCAGGACAGGGAGGGGCATGTCCCAGCCTTCTCAGGGACTTTGCCCAGGGTACCGGTGAGTCGGGGAGAGGAGGGTTGGCTCTGTATTTCCCTTAGGGTAGCTGGAAGGTTTGCTTACTCACAGGGTCCTCCTGGGGAGTCGCCCCAGCCCCACCGTCTAAGTGAGGCAGGTTGGATCTTCTCTCCAGCTTGGGCAGGACAGCCGAGCTGCACTCCCCTCCACAGGGACAGGGAGGCCTCCCAGGCTGGGCGCTGTGACCTCAGATGGCTACAGGAGGCAGTGAGTGACATGCCAGGCACAGGTAGGGGATCCCTCCCCCATTCCCTGGGGCTAATGCCAGCTGAGCTTTGAGCCCCCCCGTTCACACCAACAACTTTAGCAAACCACAGGCTTAGGTTTTTAACTGACTTTGGCACATAATGTCTACGGGTGATGGAAAGTATATTAAATTGATAATTGGACACATCAGAGATCTAGACAGTTCTCTTCCCTGAGACAGTTCCACTTTTATAAATGCTGCACCTCGGTTTCCTGAATTGTGCAACAGAAGTGATACCCTACCTCAGCAGACTTCACAATGAGGGAGGGCAGGTGACAGTGCCTAGCATGTGCCTGAGACACAGTAGGTGCTTAATAAACGCCTGGCAGTCCTCCAGTCCCAGGCGGTCTCGCACCTTCAGCACCTTGCTGCTAAGAGTAGGTTTGTGGGGACGGTATCTAGAAGCATCTGCAGGTTCCATGACACCAGAAAGCCTCCGACCCCCGTTTTGTGTAGGAAACTGATGGGTCCATCACAAAGTCTGCAGTCAGGGCCTGAGAAACCCTGCCTCCCTCCCTCTGCCTGGCCAACATGCAGCTCTGTTTCTCCGCCCGGATTTTCCCGTGTTGTTTTTGTTCAGTTTGGCTTTGGATCTATTTTTTGAAACCATTTGCATCTTGCGTGCTTGTTTGGGAGTGTTGAATCATTTTGTTTTGCCTGGATGCACAGGGCACGGTGGTCCCCATCCTGTGGCTGTTTCTGTGTGGATGGCAGGCAGGCCACAGTGACGGAACACAGCCAGCGGGATTATTTATTAGCCTGTGGAGTGTGTCTTCCAAGGGGAGGCAGGAAGGCACCAGCATGGGGTACATATAAAACCGAAACAGAATGCAGTGCGCGGTTGGACCTAGACGCAGGAAGACGGGCAGGATGACTTCATTTACCCGGTAAATACTTCATCTGACCCTGCTCTGTACCTCTGTGTGTTTAGCAAGGCAATGGAATTGCAAGAATGAGCAGTACTGGCTTCATTGTCTTCAGGAAGTTTCAGTCTAGCGGGCAAGAGACATGTAGGTAGATAAGTTACCCAGTACAAGGTGGTAAATTCCTGTCCAGAGCTAAGAACAGTGTCGCGGGGACACTGACAATTGAGCAATCTGAGGAGGCCTTCCCGAGGAGGTGGCCTGAGATCCAGCCATTGCAGCTGAGGTGGGGAAGCTTGTCACATGCAGAAGGGGCCTGCTGAGGCAGGGAGTGGTGGGTGCGCAGGCTTGGCGGGGAGCACCCGGAGGAGACTGCAGCTGGGCCTCCGATGGGGCTGGAGGCTTGGACAGTGGTTTGCAGGCAGTTGATGGCGGCTGTCCTGGCTGACAGCAAATGTTGTTTTCAGAGCCTTTTCCTGGCTTTCGCATCAAACACAGACACTGAATATTGATCAGGAGCACGTCCTCACAGAGTAGTATTTACTGGGAGCATCTATATTCACGTTTTGATAAAATGACGTTCAGTAGGAATTGGGAGCTGAGAGCAGAATAATAAATTCCCCTGAGAGGCCAGCAGCGTGTAGTGCTGTGGAGTGAGGGCTTTGGGGTTGGATAGATGGATGTGGTCCCACATCTCATGCTGAACCAAGTAGCTCTGGCTGATGATTAAAGCTCTCTGGGCATCAGTTCTCTCGTGTGCAGATGGGATGACATGTCCCTCTTCATAATGAGAACAGTAGTTTTTGCTAATGACCTACCATGTTGCAGGCACTTTAGGGAGATTGCTGTATTATCTCTCTTTCCCCCAAAGGGAGGGTGAGCATGCTGTCCCAGTTTATAGATGGGGAAACTGAGGCTCAGAGAATCATTGACACAGGGTCATGCAGTTGGAGAGCAGGTGTGCCAGGCTTCACAGCCATGTCTGCCTACTCCAAAGCATCACAAAGCCCTTGCACAGCCGTTTCATTTGAGCAGCAGTGAGAATGGCATTAGCTCAGGGCACTGGGTAAATGCTCTGGGAATGTTTGCCCCCTAAAGCGCCCACCACAATATGGCTCAGAGGTCTGGACAACCACTGGGACTCACAGGCCCACTGCTGTGGGTGATAGTCCCAGTGCCTGGGCCCAGGACACTCAGCCTGTCCCAGCTGTCCCCAGTGAGGTCTGGCTACTTTGTTTCCATTAATGGGATAAGACTGTCTTTTGGAGATGTTCAGTTATTGCATATGGAGCCCCAGCCTGTGGACCTAATCAGAGAGGTGTCTTGAGAAGTATAGTGCCAAAGGGTTCCCACTCCCCAAAGTATTTCCCGGGTTGGCTTGCCCTAGGCCTGAAGCCTCAATGACAACAGCCATTCATGTATTGATCAACTATGTCACCTAATACGTGCAAGAGAGTAAACCAGAAGTCCCTGCGGATGCTAAGAGGAGTTAAATATAATCCTTGACCCAGCAGCTTCCAAACAAGTGAAAACTATCACAATGCACAAAATTATGATTACATGTTGCAATGTAATTTTTAGAATTCTGTAAGGAGTGTAAAATAAGTGTGTGTTCAGCAGAGGGCGAGCTCACCCTGGCTGGGGTGCAGGTGGCCGCTGTGCAGCCTTGCCACCTCTACCCCCTGCTTTGCCAAAATGATGTAATCCAACGGAACACTCTTTCCTGCTGAGTCAGAAGGTGGCCTCCGATCCTTCTCGTCACCCAACTCTGGGTGATGACGACACACTCACTGGCACTGACCTTCCTGGGAGCACGACCAGGGTGCCATGTCAGAGGATGATCCTCTGCCCTGTGGGCACTGAGAACACAGCATTCCTGGCACAGGGAGCTCCATGGACAGCGGTGCAGAGTTAGGAAAGAGGTTACTTGATGGAGACCTGCAGGTGGTCGAAAGAAGTGGGGGGGAGGCCAGGGCTGAGGTCAAGGCTGACTGAGGGCAAATGCTGAGGCCTCAGGGGAGTGAACTGAAGCAGTCAGGAAAGGGGAGCCATAGAAGAGGAGACACACCATCCAAGTCTAAGACTGCCTTACAGAGCTCCGGTTCAAAATGGGCCATGAAATAGAGTCCATCTATCACAATTGATATTTTTAATAACAGAAGTAGGATAGAATAAAAAATACCAAAGTGTATCGCACGCAATAAGAATGAAAGTTGACCTGTGACGTGTTTATTGCAGAGATGCATGTGCATGAGCGTGCTCGCATTGAAGGCAACAGTGGAAAAAGTTTGCAAAACTGCAGGGGAGTGTCCAGTGGAGACAAGGGGCTGGACTAGGAAGTGACCACAGCGCCCAGGCCGAACTAATGGTTCTAGTCCTGTGGTAACATTTGCTGCACACATGCTGTAAGCCCTTGACCTGCATTGCCTGGTTCTGTCCTCAGACACCCCTGTGCACTGGACCCTAGTACTATACCCCCCATATAGGAGAGGAACCAGAGGACAGAGTGGTTAGGTGAGTCACTCTGTGAGCTGACTACTACGTGGTGTGCCCGTGTCCTAACCACTACACCTCCCATGGTGAGGACATGACACGGGGGGACTGACAAGTGGTGGTGGCAGAGTGCAGATAGGAGCATTGGAAAGGGTTCCATCAAGACCTTCTGAAGATTGAGTCTGGACACGGTGGGAATGGAGACTCGTTAGCAGTGTTAGCAGTGGCGGAGGGGACGTTCTTAGGGACAGATGGGGAAGTCAGTCTGGACAAGGTGAGTATGAGGCCTTGGTGGTGCCTCCAAGGCCAGGTGCGTAGCAGGCAAGGAGGTGGGAGAAGGAGATGATGAAGGCTGGTGACAGGTGAGAGAGAAATAGCTCTGGGGCATGAATGGGCGAACGCTGAAACCTAATGTCCATGAACACAGGGAGAGCAGAAGGTGGGAGAGAAGTCTGAAGGCTGAAGTAGAGAACCGCCATCGTAGGCAGCATGGAAGCCTCAGGAAGGACACCAGAGAGAGGCAGTGGGTGTGGTTGCAGATACAGTGGGGTGGGGGGAGGGAGTGCAGAAACAGTTGTAAGTGGTGCTGGTCTGTGCCCCAGATCTCAAGGGCTGAGTGTTGGTGAGGAGGAGGAAAGCCATTGCAGGAGCCTGGGTCCGGTGATTGGCAGTCAGAGAGGTGGGAGGGTTGTGCTGTCTCTAGAGGGGAGGCCCGAGATTTTTCCAGAGCCAGGTGTTTCTGTAAACGGGGTGTGGAGACCGGTTCCAGGACAGGTCTAAGGTTGCCCCAAAAGGAGGGTGATGATCAGTAATGGCCTGGAGGAGGCAGAGGGCACAGGAGGAAGGGGAGGGGATGGTTGGCCTTACAAAGGAGGGAACATGATGGGCAGAGACAAAGAAGTGTGGAGATGCGGGAGGGAAGCCAAGGACCTGAGCCCCGACTGGTCTTCGTTGCACGATAGGAAGTGGAACTGTCTGCCAGGTGACGGATGGGATGGAAGGCTGGCGGAGGTGGCGGAGGCTTCAGAAGACCTATATTGGGAGAGCCGAGAGAGATGTAATTCTTAAAAGCCTTTTTGGCGAGTGATTTGTTTTCGGTGGTTAAGACATCATGTAACTTGGGGAAGCATGCACAGGGAGGAACGCTGGCTGGGAGTCAGGACACGAGTGTCTTTCCCTACCAGCTAATAATCGGATATGAGGCCTAGCCTCTTGGAGCCCAGGCTGTCTTCTGAGAAGAAAGGGGATTAGAGTAGATGTCACATTGGCTCTGCCAGCAGAAACACATAACGAGTCTATTAAGTCTCTTACCCATTAACAGAGATGGGTTTCTCTGCAGAGCTGGAGGGAGGGAAACCCGGGACAACTAAGAAATGTGGACTGTGTGTGCCTGTGTGTGTGTGATGTGTATGCCTGTGCACATGTGTGTGCAGGTACATGTGTGTGCTTGTGTGTGCTGGTATGTGTGCCTATGTGTGTGCGCCTTTGTGCATGCACATGCATGCTTATGTGTGTCTGCACGAATGTGTGTGCACATGTGCATGTATGTATGTGTGCCCTTGTGTGTCTGTACATGTGCCTATGCACATGTGTGCTTTATGTGTGCATATGCATGTGCATGTGTGCACATGCATGGGTGCTTGTACATGCACGTGCCTGTGCGTGTGTGCTTTGTGTATGTGTGTGCTCGTGTGTGCGTGCATGTGCATGCGTGTGTGTGTACAAGAGCACACACTTGTAGGGGTTGTGTTTGGTATTTGAGCAGGAGGAAAAAACCAGCCATGTGAGTGCTTACTTTATGAGTCTTTAGCAGCAGAAAACCACTGGGCTCAAGAGAGGACCCTAAGGTGACAGAGTGGTGCCAAAAGAGGCACAGAAAGACCCAAAGAGAGCTGTGCCGCTTCTAAGCCTTGCCTGGGCTGGACCGGTGTTTTCACAGAGAAGCGTCGTGGCTTGGATTTAGCCCAGCCACCCTACTTGCTGTGGGTGCAGAAGGCGTGGCCCCGGGCAGGTGATGAGGGCGGTTTAACCCCTTAAGGCAGACCACACCTTGGTCCTTGACTGAGCAAGTTTAGGGAAGCCTCAGATGCGTGACTCTGCAGAGCCCTGGAGGTGTAGTCTAGAAAACAGTGCTTTGTTGTTCAAGATAAAATGTGCAATTGCCCATGCCATCAGTAAAATATTGCTCTCTTCTCCTGCTCCGCTCCAGGGAGAAGGCTCCTGCGTCCCCCTTCCCACAGAGCCAGACTGCCCGGAGGGCCGACCTGCCCAGTCTGCCCTCCTGTAAAACCCCAGCTCCCCTGTGAGCACAACAGCTGGACTCCAGCCCACATAAAAGCTGAAGGAACCCTGAGCCAAGGAGAACATCAGGAAAGGGAGAGCGTGCATTAGCCTGTGTCTGTTGCGGGTCCTTAGCAGGCAAAAACACCCCCATCAGCCATGGTGAGTGCCTGCTGTGTACAGAGGCCTGGCGTGCCCAGGCCCTGAGACATCGAGGTTCCAGGAGACACAGGCTCAGACCAGCAGGGTCCAGGATTAAACCCGATCCCTCAGGCTCAGAGGTTTCACACCATGCACTGAGCAGGCTCCTTGCTCCCAGCAGACACCGGCTCTTCCTTCCCCAGGGGCACAAATGGCATTGTTTAGCGCTTACTCAAATCCAGCGCTTTCCTTACCAGTCATGTTAGCCTGAGGCCGACAACTTGCCAAGACTGTGTTAAATCCACTGCAGACATGGTGTTGCTGGGAAGTTCGGGGGTTGTTAGGGACCCCAAGGAGATGGGAGTGGGAGGACAGGCCAGCACAGGACTCTGTGTACCACGGTGGTGGCAACGGCAGGGAGGTGCCCACGTCTGGCCTGGTTCAGACCAGCTCTCGTCCTGCAGAGGGTAGAGCTTCAGGGCCCTGGCGAAGCCGCCCACCTTCCACTCCACCGCACGTCAGCAGCCAGTCCTGAGTCCATACCAGGGAAGTGATTCTGGTTTTTACAAACAAATCCGTGCCGTCTCTCTCTCCCCGCTGCCTCGGGCACCACTTCCGACAAAGGCTGAGGCAGCTCGCAGAGGTGGGCGGCTGTGTGGCCTGACGTCCCTCAGCTGGGAGCCCAGCACAGTGATTCCTGCTCCAGGAGGTGGTCAGGTAGACCCTGTCATCCAGCCGTCACCACACGCTGCTTGGTGGCGGCCCCAGGCTGTGCCTCACACCTGCACCAGCACAGCAGTCCCCACCGTCACACCCTCAGGCTGGTCTCTCGGCAGATGACAAAGTACCCGGTGGGTAGCTTAAACAGCAGACATTTACTTTCTCACAGGTCTGGGGTCTGCAAGTCCAGGATCAAGGTGCCAGCAAACTTGGTTTCTGGTGAGGGTCTCCCTCCCGGCTTGTGGACGGCCACCTCCTCACTAGCCCTCCTGTGGCCTGTCCTGCCTGTGTGCTCGTGGAGAGAGCGAGTGACCGAGCTCCCCACCTCTCTTTCTAAGGCCGCCAAGCCTCTCAGAGCAGAGCCTCACCCCTATGACCTCCCTTAACCTTAGTTACTTCCTTAGAGGCCCCATTTCCAAATCAGCCACAGGGGGGTTAGGGATTCAGCATAGGATTCAGTCCATGACATTGCAGGGTGGCAAGTCACAACCAGAGTCCCCCACACACTCAGGCCTCCAAATTTAAAAGTGGGCCCGTGCTCTGGAAGCCTAGAGTCCCTCCTTAGTGACAGCAGGTCTAGCCGTGGCCCCGATCCGTTTCCAAGGAGAGAATAAGACGCTTTCGGGGCCTGGTGCTGCTTTGGGGTCGGGCAGACGCTCGCAGGTGTGCCTCAGACACTCACTCCTCTGTGGCCTCGGGAGACCACCTCCTGGGGCTTCAGCCATCCAGTCTGGGAACCAAGGACAGTCAGACTTTCCGCCAGCATTATGACAGGTGAACAAAGACACCCAAAACCTCTGGGCAGAAAGCATGACATATATCCTGGGTGTTCAACTGTCGCTTGCCCTTTACTTCCTTGTGCCCTCTCCTCCCCCCTTACTCAGGGTCAGCGTCCAACCAATGGTGACTTTCTGTGGATTTTGTCTTTCCCTGGGACCAGTGCTAGTCAGGAGCATGGTGGGGCCTTGGCCATGTATGAATACTGGGAATATTTTCTGACCCAAAGTCCAGGAATCCCGACAAATGGCCTGGCAAGTGCAGGCGGGCATATGGGTCAGGACATGTGAAATGGGATTGCCATGGGACATCCCAGGCCTACAGTGGCCTTTTACATGTGACAGCCTCTTCCCTTTCCTCCAAACCGCTCCTCAGCACACATACACACAATCACACACAAGTCCACTGAGCAAGTATTTAATGAGTGGACGAGATAACAGAACCCAAACTGCATTTTGGGGAGATGAATTACACAGGCAAATGGCCATGAATAAAAGCTTTTTTCCAAGCTCCTCACTTTACAAAAGCTATTTAGTTGGGTGGCCAGGTCCTGAATGGGCATATCAATCAGTGGTCAGTAAGTGGGAAACTGTTCGTCTGGCCCTCTTCCCCTGGGCAGTCCTGGAAAAAAGGGGAGGGAGCCCTGGTGCCCAGGCAGCTGTCAGCAGTGTCCTGGTCGGATGCTATGAGAGGCACTGAGGCCACTGCCCTTGGACTGAGCCAGCTCCGCCCTTGACGGCTGCGTCCGCCTTGTGCGTCATGGTGGGTGCTGATGAATGCTTGTTGGATGAGTGGCCTAAAAACTTAACTAGTCCACCCAAGAGAAATGGAGACATGTAAGTCACACAGAGACTTATATGTGAGTGTTCAGAGCAGCATTACTCACAGTAGCTAAAAGCTGGAAACGGTACACTTGTCTATCGGCTGGTGAGTGGACGAACACAGTGCAGTGCCCGCCCAGTGGAACGCTACCCAGCCATAAAGAGGAAGGACCTACTGACACATGCTACAGTGTGGATGACCCCACAGACGTCATGATAAGTGAAAGAAGTCAGATGCAAAGGTCCACACGTTCTGTGAAATATCCAGGATAGACAGACCTTAAGAGAGAGAGCAGATTTGTGGTGGCCTGGAGTTGGGGGTAGAAAAGGGGGATGATTACAGATCGGTGTGAAGACTCGCTGTGAAGTGATGGAAATATCCCTGGATAGTGGGGATGGCTGCACCATTTAAATCATGAACTTTCAACAAGTGAGTTTTAGGATAATGAAAATTATGCCTCAAAAAAGCTATAAAAATAACTGCAGATCATATTGCTGGAGATGTCACTGGGAGATGTCTCTCATTCTCTGTGCAAAGATATCTCCTTCGCTTTCGGGAGGGTGGGACCTGCCACCCATGGGTGGTCCTTGATCCCAGCTGCAGCTCCCCACCTCTTGGACATGACTCAGGTACTTTCTAAGTGCAAACTTCCCCAACACTGTTTCACAGAGTCAGCGAGGGTCCGCTTAGCCTCAGGCGACCTTGAAAAAGACATTTGTGTTCCCTTGAAAGATTGGAAGGGCCATTTTATGGGAACTTTACGTTGAAAGTAAACGACTTTCCAGTTTTTCTTGCTTTCTCATATAAACGACTTTCACAAAATAAACATAAAAGGCACCCAGTTCTTCATTTTCTCCGGGGAAAGCAGTGGACAGCTCATGAGATGAAGGATTTGCCTTGGTCCCAGAATGAGTTGGCAGCTAAACCAAACCTCCAGCTCCCCCATTATGCCCTAGAGGTTCCTCCTCCTGAGCAGACATGGCCGCAGGCGCTTCTGCTTGACCAAGGAATGTGACTGCTTCCTGAATCCCTGGCAGGAGAGAGGCATCGAGTGTGATTCAGCAGGTGGCGGGGCGATGCATGGTTCCAGGAAATTGCCTGACTCAGACCGAGCTCAGGATGGAAGCTCATGCCAGGTAGCCACAGAGTGCGCACCGTGTGCTAGAGGACGCTGTTCCTACACACACACACACCACACCACCCCCCCACACACACACACACCCCCGTCTCCAAAATGCTCAACAGGGAAGAGTCTGCCTGTCCCCTAGCGCTTCTGAGTGATTCAAGTGGCATAAACAGAGCATTTGGAGGCAACACAGCCGGAGGGAGATGCTTGACTCTGCAGTTACAGCAGCTGTCAGCCCAGCCGCCGGGCCAGTGGCTCCCAGAACTGCCGGCTGAAGTGCCAGGTTAGAGTGGAAGGTACAGGGTCAGAAACAGAGGGTGTGCGTGGGGGGTGTTGGGAGTGAGGGTGACAGGTAGCATTTCTAGTCCTGTAGGAGTGGTCAGAGGGCTGGGGCAGGGCGCAGTGTGAGGCTAAAAGCACGGATTCTCGGAGGCAGTCTGCTGTCTGCTGTCTGCCTGACATCAGACTGGACTTGCCGGACTTGCAGTTTAGGGGGGAGGGGAGGCAAGCGCAAGTGTCCTGCACTTGGAAATTTGCGAGGCTCTCGCGAAGGGGCCCTGTCCCCTCAGAATTCCTTCTCTCTGCATCTGGGCCCAAATTGGACAGCTCATCACCAATGACCGTGGGAATGGTGTGCGTGGTGGGATGCATTTGCTGCGTTTCAAACAGAATAAATGCGTCTGCGCACCACCTTTATCACGTCTCTCTCCACGTATTCTTTGGCGTATCTGTCTGTTACGGACAGTGGGGCATGTGCTTCCCAAATCACAAATTCAGGTTGACATCTGAACTCGCTCCTGTCCCTCTGGCCAACCTGGCTGAATACCTGACCTGCTTCATGCCTGAGCAGAGCGAGATGGAGCAGGGCAAAGCTCCCCGTCTTCCTCATGCCCCTGAGCAGACCGCGTGTCCTCCTGACCCTGAACGTTGCTCCTGTTTCGCTCAGAGCCGTCCTGTCCTTCCAGGCCCAGGCCAAGCTTCTGCCTCCTCGTCCACTGTTGTCACAGGCCACGCTGGTGGCACTGCCTTCAGAATTCCCTTTGCAGCCCAGAGCTCTCCATGCTGCACGTGGTGGTTCTAAAATACTTCCATGGGTCTGTTTTCTGATTCCCAGATAGACTCTCAGTTCCTGAAGAACGNCACGTGGTGGTTCTAAAATACTTCCATGGGTCTGTTTTCTGATTCCCAGATAGACTCTCAGTTCCTGAAGAACGGTAGTCGTGTTTTATATTTATTTATTGACCGCCCAGCTCTTGGCCCAGGGCACATGCTTCCTGGGGATTTCCTAGACGGTGGGAATGCTCCCAGGCAGCAGCGCTGTCGGCAGCCCTGTGGGGATTATAACATCCTTGCTGCTGTGCATCCAGCATAAATGAATGCTGGGTGAAAATATGTGACCATGTATGTGTGTGTGTGTGTGTGTGTGCGTGTGCATGTGGTGCAGACNCGTGTGCGTCTGGTGCAGACACAAGACTGCAGACAGTGCAGCGGAGTGTCCATAGCAATATCTCTGGGGACTGAGATTAGTATAGGTTGACTATTACTCATGCTATTCAGTATTTTGGAAAGTATCTGTAAAGAATATTTTTAGTGCCCTGGCCAGGTGGCTCAGTTGGTTGGAGCATTGTCCCATCTGCCAAAGGGTGGCAGGTTCAGTTTCTGGTCTGGGCACATACCTGGATTGAGGGCTCAATCCTCAGTTGGGGTGCTTACGGGAGGCAACTGCTCAAAGTTTCTCTCTCACATTGATGCTTCCCTCCCTCTCCCCACCCCCTTCCTCTCTCTCTAAAATAAAAAAATGTGTTTTTAGTTTACATGAGGTCAACCTGGTTGAACAGAAGTTCCAGGATTGAGTAAGGTGAGGAGACTGATACATGATTGTTATTAGAAGAGGCTCAGTACAGGGAGATGGAAAGTTTGCTGTGGATTAGGATTGGGTGTCTGTGGTTCTTTAAGGGTCTATTCCAGTGTTTCCCAGAGTGTGCCCCAAGGGACACCAGTCCTACCACAGGTGTTACATCTCAGTCGCAGGGCAAGCACCCGTTCTATAGCTGCTTTTCAGAAATTCACAAGGTCCACTATTCCTGAATATTCTACAGCGAAGGAGCCCGCCTCTGATCTACCTAGTGTTTTCCAAAGTTTTCTCACCATGGGATTACTTTTCTTATGATACCTGTTAACTGCATTATACCTGGGAAACACTGTTCTATCTTATTTTTAAATAACTGTAGATTTCAGTTCTGAATGTCTTCACTTTGCCTGGGTGTTATGAATAGCCCCTTGGTTAAATAACTGAGAGAGGGTAGGGAAGTAGAGGGTAACCTCTTTAATCCGAACCTATAGGAGCCTTTTGACAAGACAGTGCTACATAATTGGTGGTTTCCTCTTTCAGTGTAAGAGCTACACAGCGTCCGTCATCACTTCATTAAGTTTTAAACTTTATTTGNTCTCTTTCAGCGTAACAGCTACGCAGCGTCCGTCATCACTTCATTCTTTAAGTTTTAAACTTTATTTGCTGTAGTGGAAAACCAAGGGGAAGGCGAGCCGTGCGCCGTGATTCAGTAGCCCCTCCAGGGTCCGTTCTTAAGTGGAGGTTAGGGCAGTGAAACTGCATTTCATTTCTGCCTGGCTGTTTTCTTCGCTTCCACGGTCTTCTCAGTCTTCTCCCTGACAGGGATGTGACAGTCCAGAAGCCTTCCGAGCCCCAGCACTGCCGGAAGAGTATCTCTGTAGTGAAGGTTACAGAGGACAACCCAGAATGCCAGGCCATCAGCGTGTAAACTGGAACTGAACTTGCCTTCAGTTGTGGGGAATCTGCGAACAGGGTCCAGAAGTCCTGGTGGAGGGCACAGCGCAGGAGGGACTCGGCCTGTCCTTGGGCCCCTCTGCTCCCCTGCCCCGCAGCCCGAGACACACACAGACGACTGTTGGGAGCCCAGAGGGTAGTTCAGCATTGGGCTGTCCAAGGGCTTTCTGACTAGGATCCACACACATGAAAAGTAACAGGAAGGGGGAGGTGGAATGTTAACAGAGGTAATGAGGCACAATATGATGGTGACCAGTAGGATCTGGGCCAGTGAGAGACATCCTCTCTCCTTGACCAGCCACGTGAGGCTTGTGATTAGCTTCAGCTACAACAGACGCAGCCAGGGCTGGCAGTCAGTGGTAAGATTCGCTAACACCTGTGCATAATAGACACTCGAATCAGGAGTTTGCCTCACAGAGTTAGTACGTTCCAGAAAGCATGATACGCAGAACTTCGTTTAGGTTGTTAAAGCTACTTAAAGTATTATTAAGCTCAAACAAAATATGTGGAGTCAGTTTGACCCTCGTGCGTTCTGGGCTGCTCCCCTGCCCCTGTGGTGGAGATGGCCTCCTGGCCCGGGGGCCCGTGCTGCGTGCCAGGCCCACGTGACAGCCAGCACGCTGTCTCCCGGACGCCTGCGTCTGCCCATGGTGCCACCCGGCGCAGGGTACAGCTCTGTTTAAATTTCCAGCTGACTGACACACACACGCTCTTGAATGAAAACCAAACAGTGGAAAATAACGCCTTTCCCACCTTCCCGTGGTCTGTGGGAGTGGAGCCGCCGCAGAGCGTGCTTAGGGCTGAGGCCGGTCTCCAGAAGTCACGCGCCCCGGAGGGCAGTGGCCAAGGCCTCTCATGGCTCCAGCTGCCCGGCTGTGGTTTCTAAGTAACGCTCCAGAGTGGGACTGAAGGCCGCGGGCAGGAAGCCAGTTAGAGCAAATAAAGAGGAGGGGAAGGTCCGTTTTTGCCATACAAGCAAAGCAAGATGCGAATCTCTGCCTCTGTGCCTTTAAGTAACAGACAGGGAGGGGCTTTGGTCCAGGTCCTGGGAACTTTCAGAGGTCAAGGCCTGTGGCCTCCTCAGGTAGGAACCTGGCCCCCAGCACAGTACACGGAGCTGACAGTGTCTGTGTAACAGGACTCCAGCCCGTCTGTGTGTCCTGGGAGTGCTTCCCACAGGCCGTGTGCACGCAGCTCCCCCGTTGGAATGCAGATTCTGAGTCCGGGCTTGTGGGTGGGCCTGCGATTGTGCATTTCCAACCAGCTGGGTGGTAGTGGGTGCCGATGGTGCCAGCCCAGCCCACGGGCCACACGCGGAGGTCAGGATTCTGGAGGATAGCCGCGGCTGGTGTGGTTCAGTTGGTCCAGCATGGTCCTGCGCACTGAAAGGTCGCTGGTTCAGTGCCCAGTCGGCACATCCCAGGGTTCGATCCCCAGTAGGGTGTGTATGGGAGGCAACCCATCTGTGTTTTTCTCTCACGATGCTTCTCTCTCTCTCCCTCTCCCTTCCTCTCTCTCTAAAATCAATAAAAATATTTTTTTAAAGATTCTGGAGGATAAAAAAAACAAAGAAAATGTCCTCTATTTAAGTTTTGTTTCACGAAGCTGCCTCCACCTCTCCCCCCTCCCCGGGGGGCTGGCCTTGGCC